CAAGTGAAACCAAGGCTGGGGGCGGGGTAGGGCTCTAGACTTCTACTGGATGCCCTCCCAACGCAAAAGATCTCCAAGAGCAAAAGACACTGGAGTTATCAGCAATAAAGTGGAACTATGCTAAAGACCCATGTGCAGTCCACACTTCCATTTCCTCCTTCCATGTCACTGTACCCACGGAAGAACTTTCGGGATTCTCAGCCAAGTGGTTTCTGGGAACTCTGGTCTTCAGGCTCGGCAGCAAGTACCTTTACTCGCCGAGCCATCTCGACAGCCTTTCCATTTTTATTTTTGAGATAGGGTCTCTCACTGAACCCAGAGTTTCCAGTTTCAGCGAGACAGAGGCCAGTGGGCCCACAGCACTACGATTACAGATGTGACGCTGGCTGGGTTTTCACCTGGGCACAAACACAAACAAGCACTTTACCCATGGAACTATCTATCTCTCCATTCCTTTTTGTTGGTTTGACACAAGATCTCAATATGTAGCCCTGGCTGGCCTCAAATTTGCAATCTTCCTGCCTCAGCCTCCAGAGTGCAGGGACCCCCATGCCTGGATCCACAAGTATCTCCATGACTGCTGTAGCAGTTTGTTTAAGTGTACCCCCAAGGAGCCTGGCTTCTGAGTAACCTCAGCAAATGACTAGCTCCTTCATTTCCTAAAATCACTTGCTCTTCACAGATAGAAAGGTCAAAACACTGTCGAAGCTGCGGTTTCTTTCAAAGAGCTCATTCATTTGCTGGGCGGAGCCCTACAGACAGGGAAAAGGGCCCCACCCCCACCCCCCCTACTCTACCCCCGCAAAAAAGAAAAAAAAAAAAACCGACGTACACACCATTCAAAACCACAGCGGAACAAACCGCCCTGGGAAACATGGAGCCGCCCAGGCCGGCCAGCAAAGCGGAGCCAGCGTCTGGTGGGGGTGGAGAGAAGGCAAGGGGACGTGTGGCAGGTACCAAGCTTAGGATCCGCTCCAGGGAAGGAGGAGCCCCAGATGGGAGGTCCCCCTCAGTGCCCAGATCAGCCAATAGGGACCCGCTAGCAAAGCTCACCAAATTAGGCAAGCTGACTGCACAGGGCGGGACCCACTCTGCTGGCTGGGAAGTCAGGCCCTTTCCCCAAGCCTGCCCCGCCCTGGCTCCCGCTGCCTGGGAGAGGAAGGGCAGGGCGTGTTTGTAAACAGGAGGGCTCCACCCCTACACAGAAACTCAAACTGAAAAAGTCTTGGCAGGCACGAACCTCAGGCCTCCGAGCTTTACAAAAGCTCAATGGAATTCCACAGTGCGGAGATAAACGGATGTCAACAGAGATCTTTTGTTGTGACACTTAAAGGCTCAGGGAGTCCAGGGCAGGTCCCACGCCACCATCTCTACAGGTGACCAAGAACCCAGAGCCCCTCCCCCCAGGAGACCCTGTGGGAATTCTGAGGAGACAAGGGCCTGCTCCCTCCCAGCAGTATCAGGAATGCCGTAGACATAAAGACCGGACTCCAAGGAAGCGTTGGGGCCACCAGAGCACCAACTGCTCAGCGGAGGGGGATAGGGTCTTTACAACCAGTGTCCCACCTGACCAAAGGCCATTCTACACCCCAACTCGTCCAACATCTTAACCAGGGGGCTGTTGTTTGTTTCTCAGTCTCATGGAATCCATGCTGGCTTCAAGTTTTCTACGCAGCTGAAGATGCACAGCTTCCTTCTGCCTCCACTTCCCAGAGCTGGGACTTACGGCACTGTGCCTAGTGTTATGCAGTGCTGAGGATACCCAGGGCTTCCTGTGTGCTTGACAGGCACTCTACCAACCCGGCAATACCCTAACCCCGACTACTGTTTTTATTTGGGCTATTAATGAAAACTACTTTATGAAGCCAGGCATGGTAGCACACATCTTTAGTCCCAGCACTCGGAAAGCACATACAGGATGATCTCTGAGTTTGAGGCCAGCCTGGTCTACTTAGTGAGCTCCAGGTCAGTCAGGGCTACACAGTGAGATCTTGTCTCAAAAACAAACAAACAATGCTAAAAATAATACTATTCAATCCCATAATCTTGTACCCTAGTACTGGATATTGAACCCAGAGCCTCTTTTTCTTTTTTTTAATTTTTTTTTTTTAAATTTTGTTGTTGTTATTGTTTTTGTTTTTGAGATGAGGTCTCACTATGTAGGACTGGTGTGTCTATAACACATTATGTAGATCAGGTTGGCCTTGAACTTCTATGCGATTCTTCGGGTTTCCCCTTCCAAGGGCTGGAATTTCAGGCATGTGCCATCATGCCTGGCTAAACTCAGGGCCTCTTCCAGGCTAAGGAAGTAAGTGTCCTACCACTGAACTCATCCCAGTCCTCTTTATTACAGGACAGAGTACACTAAGTTGCCCAAGCTGGCTTTGGTCCTACTCAGTAGCTCAGGCTGGCCTTGAACATAAGCTTTTCCTAGCATCACACTTTCAAGGTGGCCCCACTTGTTTGCACGTAAGCATCTTGTGCCTTTTAGTAGCCAAGTGATTTCCTGTCTAACTAACAGGCTACAGTTTTCTTAACTGTTTGTGAGCCCTGAGTACTGGGGATGAGTTGTATAACAGGGACCACTGAGGCAGAGGTACTGTATGGAGGAACCAAGTCATTTTACTCAAACATTTAATCAAACATTCACTCCTGCAATCTTAGGACTTGGGAGGCTGAGGCAGGAGGATTACTGCAAATTTCAGAACCAGCCTAACTACAGTCTGAGACCCTGTCTCAAAAACCAAAACCGGGGTCAGATACCCGGCTCAGAGGGTAAGGGGCTTGCCGTTAAGCCTTACCACCTGAGTTTGATTGAGCCCCAGGATCCACATGATGGGAAGAGAAGTAACTCCTCAAAGTGCCCTCCCTCAACAAACAAACAAATACAAATAAGCCAATATAATGCTAAAAAAAAAAAAAAAAAAACAAATGAAATGAAATCAAAACAAATTACATGCACAGAACATCCCGACTGCCCTGACTAGCCGTGAACTCTAAGGAGGACTTGTCTTGGGGCCCCATGCAATGGATTGCACACATGAATTTGGGTGTGAGAATGGGGCTATGCTCAGCCTGAAATGACGCTGGGAAAGCCATCTCTGATGAAGTGACAAGGCGGGGCGACAAGTGGCAGGTGCTGAGCACAGGTGGGCTGTCATCTCTCACCACCACCTTCCTGAGGGACACATGGCCTAGGAAGCTGCTGTGATGTGACCTACCCAAAAGGACACAACCCATCATCCACGTGACCACACTAGGGGTCTACACCTGAACTCTGGGCTTGCAAGTTCCCAGGCTGTACCTCTCGCTGGTGTCAGGAAAGAGGAAACCTACTCCAGACAAGGGGCCCGTGTGCATGCATTTCATGGTAGGAAACAAAATAAGTTTACAAAGGCAAACCGAGGGTTAAACACCACTCCCACCATCACACACACACACACACACACACACACACAGTGATACTTTTAACCATCTTGGGTTTCCACCAGTAGGAAGGACATCCTCAGATGTGACCCTGACTACTGAACCTCTAGAATCAAGAATCAAAAATCTCTTATATATAAACTTAAAAATGGGTAAACTCCAGCCAGGTGCACATCTGTGGCGGTGCACATCTGTGATCCCAGCTGGTGACCGAGGTAGGAGGATCAAGAGTTCCAGGCCAGCCTGAGCATCAGAAAGCTTCAATGTCTCCTAATGGCCCAGTGGCAGTTGCCTACAATCCCCTTACCCAGTGTGATGGTTTGAATAAGAACGGTCCTATAGGTTCATGTATTTGAATGCTTGGCCCCAGTTGATGGAATGTTTAGGGAAGATTAGGAGGTGTGTGTGTCATTGGGGGTGGGCCTCTAGGTTTCCAAGTCTCTATCAGGCCCAGTCCATTCCCCCTTCTTCCCACCCCGCCGCCTGCAGATCTAGCCACTGCCCCCGTGTCGCGCCTATCCCTGCTGCCATGTTAGCCACGGATCACCCCGAGACTGTGAGCAAGCCCCCACTTCAATGTTTTCTTTTATAAGTTGCCTTGGTCATGGTGTCTCTTCACGGCAAGAGAAAAGTAACTAAGACACTAGTATGAACAAAAGTCTGGGTTTGACTCCCAGCACTAGGGAAAAAAAAGGTTTTAAATAAAGAGATAGCATTAAGCAGACCCCTGAGAAGTAGGAGATATAACTCTGGGGACCCAGTGAGGCTGCCCATAGCAGTGACCCATGGCCAGGGCTCAGGGATGGTACAAGCCTGGCTCTGCTGGAGAATAGTTCTCAGAAGTTTTTATGGGTCCTCAAAATCCTGACCCCCAAGGACTGTGCCACACCTATGCCATAGGCACAAGAGATTCGGCCACTATCTGCCATCTCTATAGGGCTGGCCTGTGCCCTGAGCAGAGGTGGAAGCCACAGGGCTCAGGGGCACCATGCCCCAGCACCTGATGGTGGCACAGCACTTTTAGAAGCATCACGAACATGAGAGGCAGTGAGAGGGAAATCTGCTTTATTGAAAAACACCCGTCAGAATCCAAGTCTCCCCCTCTCCCCCACTTTGATATAAGGTCTCATGTAAACCTGGCTGGCCTTGAACTCACTATATAATGGAAGACGACCATGACCTTCTCATAACCCTGCATCCAGGATCATAAGCATACACCGCAATGCCCAGTTTATGATGTACTGGGGACCGAACCCAGAACCTACACATTCTACCAACTGAGCTACACCCCAGCCTGTTTGCTCTTGAGACAAGGTCTCTCTCACTGAGTGGCCAGGATGTTCCTGAATGTCCATGCAGCCTGGCTGTGCACGGGAGATACTCCTGTCTCAGCCTTTGGAGTGCTGGGGATACAGGACGGGGCCACACACCCATTCTCCTACTTGAGTTGAGGCCCCAACTCAAATCTACAACCTGGGCAGGTGGTGACTCGAGGGTGACTGTCCCTTGCAGGAGGACCTCCCAGAGACTAGCTCCATTCAGAAGAACCTGGGCACGAGAGAGGAACGGCTCACCTGATGGTGCCAGTTGGGGAAGGGATGGGGCTGACGAGACTCCGGAGGTCCGGCTCCGGAATGTGGATCTTCAGTGGGGAGATCTGAGGGTAGAGTGGCCGCAGAGGGGATGCTGGGGCCTCCTCCTTGTGGTACAGGGATGTGAACTGGATCTTGATGGCCGTGCTCGGGAACCGGAAGGTGCATCTGCAAAGAGAGGAGAACGGCTGGTCAAGCACAAGGTTACTGGGTGCAGGGCTGAGGTCCCACCACCCACACGGCAGGAGCAGCAGGAGCCTCGGGCTTGGTATTCCTGGGAACACACTTCGTCTTACTCTGGCATCAGCTGTACTCTGCTTGTAAACAAAAGATGTAAATATCCCCAGCAGATGCCACGAGAACCAACCCATGGAGCCTCCATGTACCAGGACAGTAATGGTGACAATGACCGTGGTTTCTGACCTTCAGGGGCAAATAGCTAAACGGATCCTGCCCACTTAGGCACAGATCTCATTCACTTGTCACTCACTCACTCATTCACTCACTACTCAATTACTCCTCCAGCAAAAACCAGCTAAAAGGACCCTGCCCCATTTGAAAACAGGTTTCACTCACTCACTCATTCTCCCATTAGAAGACAGGGTCTTCCTATGGAGTCCAGACTGGCCTGGACCTCGGGATCCTCCTGTTCCTGTCTCCTGAGTTGCTGGGACAACAGGCATGCAGCACCATGGCCGGCTTAGAGAGATTCCTTCAAGGTATAAACAAATGCCACCACACAAAGGTAGAGGGATGCTCCAGAGATATTTGGGGGTGGTGGAGGGAGGGTGTGTTCTCTAACTGGCTTCTCACTAAACTTAAGGCTTACAAGCCTAGACCAGGCATATCTACTGAGTGACAGACAGACAAACTAATCTGACCCTGGAACAGCCAAGGAGGACTCGTCCACAGCAAAGACCACCCCACATACTCAGACAAGGTGAGCAACTTCCCCCATCTCTAAGAAACGGACATTATTTGCTGGGCTCACCTCTAATTTCCAGATTCGTGTGTGCGCAGGTGTGTGGGCATGTGCAGGCCAGAGGCCATGCTGAGTGCCCTCCTTGGTCACTCTCCACCTGAATTTTAGAGGGTCTCTCACTGAACCTGGAGCCCGCCATTTTAGCTAGACTGGCTGGTTGGCAAGCTCAGGATCTGCCTATTTCTGTGCTAGTATATACATAAAATAAATAGATACAAGGTGGGGGGGAGAGAAAGAAAAAAGAGCAGACTAATTCTGGAGAGCTTGAAGGGCTTCCGAGGCCTTCCTAAATCCCTCTGCTCATCACCCTGAATCACTGGGGCCTCACAACTGAAAGAAATGCTCCGAGTGGGGTTTGCTATGCAGATGGGGACCACCCGAGAACACGGGCAGCAGCCCTTCCAGCCTCTTTGTCCTTCCTTCCTCTGCTCCAACTAAGTTGGAGGGCCTGAACAACAGCCCTCTCCAAAGGGGCTGCCAGCTGAAACCACGATCCCTTTAAAAAAGGGTTTATTTGTGTGGTGTGTATGTGTGTGTGCGCGCGCGTGTATGCGTGAGTGCATGCGTGCGTGTGAGAGAGAGAGAGAGAGACAGACAGACAGACAGAAAGCATTTGTGCTCGAGCCCCTATGGATGCTAGAAGAGGCTTGGATCCTCTGGAGCTAGAGTTATAGGAGGTTGTGGCTGCCTAACGTGGATGCTGGGAATTGAACTGTAGTCCTCTTGAAGAGTAGTATGTGCTCTTTAACCCTGAGTCATCTTTCCAGCCCCAACAGCCAAGATTCTAAGAGCTGGAGACACAGGTGAGTGGTATGCCCCTGCCTCAAGTCCCCCATTGAGCAGCTAGCTAGCAAAGTGCCTCAGAGGGAACAGCCATGTACCATGGAGGTCCCAGAGTACCTCCAGTACTGCCAAACAAAACCAAATCCAAGATGAATGTGTGTATGTTGATCGAGATTTTTTTTAGTAAACAGCCTTCCTTCCCTCCCTTCCATTAATGGTGCTGAGAACATGTGTCCCCATGTTACAAACATCTGATTTGATTCCCAGCACCAAGGGAGGAAGGGAGGGAGAAAAGGCTGTTTTACTAAAAATCTCTCTCAGCCCTAACTGAGGTCCTTTGCAGCACCACACCCCACTGCGATGGCAACCCAGAGAAACACGTTCGATGATAAGCATCTTCAGCTTGCTTGCTGGAACAGCTCCTGACTTACTCTTCCAAAATTCAACCCAGGTAGCCACCCTGTCAGCAGGAACTGGTGAGAATAAAGTGCCAGCCCCTTGGCTTGGCAGAGGGCACTCAGTGTCTTCCACCACACCCCTTCCTGTAACATCCCCACTTAGAGTCAGGGACCTTGGCTACAGTCTTAGTTTCTTTTTCTGATGTTTATCTGTAGCCCAGGCTGACTTTGAACTCCTCCTCATCCTCCTGCTTCAGGTTCCCAAGTGCTAGGATTACAGGCATGTGCCATCATGCCCGGCTTAAACCCCCCACCCCTCTAACACACTTTTTATTTTAATTTAATTTAATTTTATTTTTTGAGACAAGGTCTTGCTGTGTAGAACTGGTCTGGACCTCTTGGCAATCCTCCTGTTGCAGTCTTCCAAGCAGCTGTGATTTACAGATGTGAGCCAACATACCTGGCTCCTAGCTTGGCGTTTGTCCTGACCTGCCATTCACAATGCCTAGACCACCCTGCTGAGGTCAAGGTACCTACCAGATAGGGATCCTTCGCTGTCCATCTTGGAGTCTATCATGGAGACAGGCTCTCAAGTCAGCACCCATATAGGGGGGAATTTTGCTGTTTTGTTTGTTTGATATTTATTTTATTTTAAAAACAGGATCTCTCTTGTAGTCAAAAACAAAAACAAAAACAAAAAAAACCCCTGCTTGCTCGCAAGCCCATGATTAAAGGAGAACCAGCCCCTGTAAGTTGTCCTTGAATGTAAAGGAGACAGAGAGCTGCCTGGGTTGGCTGGGTTGGGGAGAGGGCACAGACGCTGAGGGAGTGGCTTCTTGGGTGTGAACAAGAACTCTATTCTAGCACTAGCCACTCAATGGGGAGATTTAAATGACTAGCTCTGTGGCAGGTAAATTATACCAAAGTTCTTGCCTGAAGGCTCACAAGTAGAGCCAATGACTGAGTCCCACCCTGTCTGGAGGCCAGGGGCTGGGCCGACTGTCAGGAGGTGAGAACACTGTATCTAGCCTGGGATCTCAGCTCAGGACACAGTTGGCTTGACCATTATAGCCTTGGCTGGAGCTGGTGAAGTGGCTCTAAAGGAAAAGCGTTTGCATGGCAAGCACAAGGACCCGAGTTCGAGTCTCTAGAACCCACACAAAAGCTGGATGCCACAAGGTGTCTGTAATTCCAGTGTTGGGGGGAGGGCGCCTGCTGGCCCACTGGAACTCATGAATGAGTAGACACAGTGGAAGGAGAGGAGGACTAACATCTGAGGTTGTCCTCTGATCTCCACACGTGTGGTGTGGTGGTACACATGTGCCTGCACTTACAGGAACACACACACACACACACACACACACACGAACACGTACATGCAGATTTAAAAAAAAAAACAGAAACAGCCCCAGCTGACTAGGGCACCAAGTTCTTCTCTGCATCCCTGCAGACCTTGAACTTTATCCTGTCTTCTTGCCTGTCTGCCTAGTCAGCCTCAGCCCAAAGCCTGGCTACTCCATCTTTGAAGGAGGAATCTGGTAACCTGCCCCACCTCCCACAACAGGGGCGCTGCCAAGCTGTCGGAAAGTAAGAATAAAATACCAATTTCTTACCAACTTGAGACAGTTAATTTCCTCCTGGTCACAGAGACAAGGAAGTACACTAAAAAGCTTCTGGCAAAGTTTTTAAAAAATTAACACATCTCTCGGCTACACAGCTGCTCCCCATTTCCGATCCTCCATCCCAGCAGAACAAGGACTTCACTTTCTGGAGGGGATGGTGAGCTGGAGGAGGTGGGGCCTGCAGGGGACACCGCAGAGCATTAGGGAGGATATCCCACTCTGAAAACAGACTCCTGGCCTGAGATGCTGCACACAGTGAGACCATTGCATTCGATGACTTCTCACATGTGAGGGATGTCTCAGACTCCCCATCCACGGGAGCAGGGACCTGAGCACCCGACTCTGCAGTGAAACACCCGAGAGGGCAGACTTTGCAGCAGGAGGAAGCAGCCCATTCCTGTCAGCATCCCAGTACTCAGGAAGCTGAGACAGGAGGATGAGGGCTACATAGTGAGTTCTAGGCTAACTTGGACTGCAGAGAGAATTCAAGGTTAGGCTGGGATACAGAATAAGACTCTGTCTCAAAAAACAAACAAAATTAAAATTTTTCTTTTTATTTTTTTGGCCTTTTTAATCTTATGTATATGGGTATTTTGCCTGAACATATGTTTGGGCACTACTAGTGTGTCTGGTGCCTCTGGAGGCTAGAAGAGGGCATCAGATCCCTTGGTACCAGAATTATAACTGGTTGTGAGCAGCCATATTGGTGCTGAGAATTGAACACAGGACTGAGTCATCTCTCTTACATCTACATTTTCCCCACTTTGGGTTTTTGTTGTTGTTGTTTTTTGTTTTGTTTTTTTGGTTTTGTTTTGTTTTGTTTTTTTGAGACAAGGTTTCTCTGTGTAGATCAGGCTGTCGTGGAATTCAAAGACCCGCCAGCCTCTGCCTCTCAAGTGCTGGGATTAATCACATGCGCCACCATGCCTGGCCTTAAATTTTCTTTTTAAATAAGGAAAAATGTGGTAATTGACAAATGAATTTCTAAAGCAACCACTTGAGAAGGCCTCATAGCATACCCTGTCCAGGTGACGATGGGTCAGTGAGTGACAGATGAGGCCTCTGGAACTAAACCAAGATCCACCTTGTTTGGGGAGTTTCAGAACACCAGATTTTCCTTCAAATACAAATTGGACCTGGATTGGTGGTGCACAACTGTAACCCCAGCACTTGGGAGGTGGAGGCAGGGGGATCAAAAGTTCAAGATAAACCTCAGCTGCATGAGACCCTGTCTCAAACAAAAAACAAAAAACAAAAAAAAAACAAAAACCAAGAAAGGGGACACAGAGTCGGCTCAGTAGGTACAGGCACCTGCCGCCAAGCCTGACGACCTGACTTTGATTCTTGGAACCCATGTAATGGAAGGAGAAAACCCGTTCTCAC